GCAAAAGGGATTGTCTGAATTCATTTGTAATGATTTAGTGCCAAGAAATAATACACATTCTCAAAAATTCAAAGTAGCCAGCCTGAACTGTAAAATGACAAATTCGTTCTCTCTGCAAAACAGGGTCCAGTAGAAAACCGTAAAATAATTTGTTTTGGGGGGTATTTATATAATTATTTATATAAAATATAATTTATAAAATTATTAGCGTTATGTTTAGAAGAGAACCAGTTTAATATTAACTCCCCAAGGGCAGCATTTTATTCATATTTGTATTCACAGCCAACAGCCTCCTGCTGACACAAAGGAGACAATAAATGCTTGCTAACAACAACAAAAAATCCCTCTGAGTTTAAGTAAAACAATTTTTATTAGATCTTTCATTTTGGGAGGTCCTAATATAAAGAAATAATGCTTGAAAATTTAATTGCTCCTGGCTACTTCAATTTCCTGCCTCCTGCTGTAAGTAAAGATAGAATCCAACTAGAGTAACCAATTTCCACTTCCTGAAGGAAACATTATAGAGATGAGATATTGATTTAGATGCCTGACACTTGAATATAGCTGGGTGAAATGTGACACGAACAAGCTAAAGTCGGTTGCAATCACAGTGTTCTCTGGCTTTTCATGACACATGTCACAACTGTGCCACAATGTGTTCAAAATGAGACCCTGTTAAAGGAGATACATGTATTCCAGACCAAACACCCAAGGTTTTCTGGAAATGGAACTCAGAGCATTACCTCCTGAGGAACTCCCCTTGTGAACTCTTTTCTGCCTTCTGGTCCTCCATTCCTTTCTCTTTTCCTCAGTGCCTTCATGCAGCCTTCCTGTCATCCAAAACTGTCCCCAATCTCTTCAGTGTGGGCTAGTCCCTCTAATATTTTCCTTATTCAATTCTCAGTTGTGAGACCAAGCCTATTCTTACAGTGTTTGCCATGCTGCTGTCGTACTACAGTATGCTCTATATTAAAAGAATCTTGCTATTTTAAAGTTATGATATTTTATAAACCTCAAGGAGAACAGTTCACCCAAAAAGGAATGAGTGATAAAGTTTCTAGAAACGAGAGACATGAATACAGCTCAGGATGTTTCAATCCTCCGTGAGCCCCAAATTAAATGAAGAATAAACGTGTTTCCCTGAATTGAAAATAAAAACTCATGAAGAAGAGCATTTTCTGATCAGGAAATTCTTGAGATCTTTAATTAAAAGATGAGAGCTGACATCCACCTTGTTCCAAGTTGCCTTCTAATTAATTGCCTTGCTATTACTGCTACACTGTGCTCCACCTTCAACCCCAAATCACTAACACAGCTAAAAGAGAGATCTTCCTAAAAGATCTTACCACAAATCTTACCACATCATATGCCTTTGATGGCTCCCTATTATGACATGGTGAAGTCCAAAGCTTTAGCATAATATTCAAAATCCTTCACTTACCTATCTATCATGCTTCATCTTTAGGTGTGCACTGAGAAACACAGTCTACTCAAACCTACCAAGCTTGCTCCTGCCTTTGTACACATCAAAACATTTATCACCCTGTAATGGACTACTTGCCTAGTTTTCCCTTTTAGATGATCAACTCATGCAGGGCAAGAAACTTGTTCTACTTTCAATATTTCTGTCTCTGGATATTGTGCCTATTTTATAATAAATGTGTGAAGAATAAAGGGTTCCTGCTATGAATTCCTTAAAGGCAGGGACTACCTCTTCCCAGCTCTGTAATTATCATCTGGAACAGTGCCAAAAACTCTCAGGAGCCCCAAATTAAGTATTTTCTTTGAATATGCTTTCTTCCCCCACCACACTGATTCACTGTCTTAATTCAACAAATACTGAGTGACTACTATGTGCTAATTACTGTATTTGATTAGAACGTTTGTGATTACTTTAGAAAGTAGGCAATATAAAATATACACAGATATAATATATACTAGAATAATTCCAAGTCATGATCCTGTATTCATTTTATCAGTATTTTACAGGCCTTAATTTGCATTTAAGTTCCTGAAGTTTTACTCAGTTTTGGTGACATTTCATTTTGAAAATAGAAATAAATTTGATTAAAAAGGTCAGCTTTAGAATTCAGGAGGGAATAAATAGTGCAATAAGAGAAAGATGATTTAAAAGGCAAAAAAATAGGGCTTCCTTGGTGGCACAGTGGTTAAGAATCCACCAGCTAATGCAGGAGATATGGGTTCGAGCCCTGGTCTGGGAAGATCCCACATGCCACGGAGCAACTAAGCCCGTGCACCACAACTACTGAGCGTGCACTCTAGAGCCCGCGAGCCACAACTACTGAGCCCGCATGCCACAACTACTGAAGCCCGCGTGCCTAGAGCCCGTGCTCCACAACAAGAGAAGCCACCGCAATGAGAAGCCCACGCACTGCAACAAAGAGTAGCCCCCGCTCGTCGCAACTAGAGAAAGCCCACACACAGCAACAAAGACCCAATGCAGCCAAAAATAAATAAATAAATATTTTTTAAAAAGACAAAAAACTAGTATCAGTGAATATGTCCCAAGTTTTAAAGTGTCCAAATTTGTAGATCAAGGCACTGACATTGGACCAAAAATATACAAAAAAAGATTTCATAGAATAAAACAAGCAATCTTTTCTAAAATTCAAAACAAGGCTAATGGAAGAATACATAATCTAACAATGGTAACTACCTGGAAGTGATGAGGTGACATTTAGAATTTACTCTTATTTATTTATGGATTGCTTATAGATTTTATGATGCAATAGTTGTATAACAAAACTGTATAAAACAAAACTGACCCAAAACTTCCCTTCTCCCACAAAAATCTTTACAGTCAATAGGAAAATGCCTACATGACTAAGATTGCTGTTACCTACCTAAACAGTTTTGGAGGCAAGATACTAAATCGTGTTTTATCCAAAATTTTCCTGATTTTGTTTCTTCCACCTGAAACAGTATTTGCTTTTATTTTCTTGTTTCCTTTCTCCTGTGATGTCTGTTCAATATCTCCTGGTACATCCTGGATTGAGTGGCGATTACTTTTTTTTTCAGCAATTTTGGGAATATGAGGAACACCAGATTTCTCTTGTTCGGTCCTAGTAAGTAACTCTTTGAACACTGTAGAAATAAATAAATAAAACTGTCATTTCTTTTCTTCTCATTAGAAAGTTTTTATATCCACAACAAATTTTAAAAATAAACATAGTTGCTTTCTATCACTGGGCCTTTCACAGCCTCACCCATTAAAACTTATTTCATTACGAAATTTATACTCACCCTCTATTAATCAGCTATATCCATTTTTCAGCTTTTATACCTGACTGTACTTATGATGTTGTCCAATAGTGATAAAAGAAATTCACTGGGGAAAACAAAAATGAAGCAGGCAGGTTGCCAGCATGTTCCAAAAGCCCAAGGTTCCTATTTAGGTAATAAGCAGTATAATATAATTGCTAATCAACCCAGATTTTATAGAAATAGATATTTAGATTCTATTATTTATATGTTATCCCTCATCATTTGAGATGAGATATAAGTACTATAAGTCAGGCCCTGTTTTGTAAAATTTAGCCATCAACAAAATGGGAAGAGCTCTGCTGGACCTGCTTTTACCAGAAACAAACAGTACTAAATTTTGTAATATATGACAATTTCCTCAAGGTAACATCTGTGAGACTTAATTCTGTAGAGTGAAAGCTACTAAGCATTCACTACAGTGGTCTGAAGTAAAAAACCAAGCATTTGTAGATAACTTTCTATCAATCCTAAGTCTAGTGAGTTACTTCATCCTTAAGGAAAGTACAAGCACAGTGGGGCATTTGCCTTTCCAGCAATCTCTTTGCCTAGATCCAGGCAAGCTTATGAAAAGCACGGTTTCTGGGCTTCCCTGGTGGCGCAGTGGTTGAGAGTCTGCCTGCCAATGCAGGGGACACGTGTTAGTGCCCCGGTCCGGGAAGATCCCACATGCCGCGGAACGGCTGGGCCCATGAGCCATGGCCGCTGAGCCTGCGCATCCGGAGCCTGTGCTCCGCAACGGGAGAGGTCACGACAGTGAGAGGCCCATGTAACGCAAAAAAAAAAAAAGAAACGCACAGTTTCTGTCCTCAAGATAACGGAAATCCTTGCTTGATTAAAATACAGTAAATTCTTTTCAGTCATCTTAAAAAATTTCACTTTATTTTAAGCCACGTGGTAAAAATAAAAATGTTTTGAGCTAAAATCAAGATACTCATCCATTCAAAAAATATTTACTGACCTATGAACACGTCAAGCACTATGCTAGATGTTTGCAGATTCCTCCTGTCGTGAAACACAGTCAGTCAAAGATATATGGTATGGAGAGAACATAAGGCGAGGAACTAGTTAAGAGAGCAAGAAAGGGAAAATTGTCCTTCATTAAGTCACTGTGTTAAGAAGAGATCAGTAAAGTGAGTTGATTTTAACTAGGCAAAGGGAGAAGAAGGATTAATTCTAGGTAGAGGAAATCTCAAGTTTAAAGTACCTGTGGTAGAAGGAAAATTCAAGAAAATGAAGATGACTGAAGAACAAGGTAGAGAAAGGGCTTGATAATGCTATGGTAAGGTGTCTGAATTTTCTGTTAAGAGCAACAGGAAATCTCTGGGCAGCAGATATCCCTGGCTGCAGTGTGTATGTAAGGTGACTCAGGAGTGTAAAAAGTAGTTTGTATCTTCACTGGACTTGTGTATATAAGTAAAAATCTGCAGAGCTTGTGATTTGTACATAAAGAAATGATTGAGTTAAACTAAAAAAATATAGTGAGGGACAAAAATTAATGTCGGTAAGCAAATATAATTACAATACCATTAAACATCAATATCAGATATAATATATGAACCAAAAATGAAGGTGTCCAAGAATTAATAAAAGAAATGTTTAATAAATTTGACTACACAAAGATTAAAGATTTCTCTCTCTACATATATGTGTGTATATGTATTTACACACACAACCCAAAACAAATGAACAAACAAGGAAAGTCAAAAGACAACTGGCGAAAAAATTTGCAACCCTTAAGACCAAGAGCTACTGTTATTTATTTATAAGGCATTCAAACAAATAAATAAAAGATGAATAACTCAACATAAAAATGGACAAATGAAGACTGTTCATAAAGAAGAAATGTTAGCACATAAAAAAAGTGCTCAACTTCCTTCATTATTAAAGACTGTATATCAGAAACTGTAAAGTTGATTATACCCACTGCAGAGACATTCTTATACATTGATGAATGAAGCGTACATAGATTGGGGAAACTTTTAGAAAGTAAAACCGCAGTAACTATAAAAGTAATTCCACTGTGAGGAATTTATCTTATAGCTATATGTATATAAACATAAAAGATAAGTACAAAGGATTATTACATCATTGTAAATAGCAAAAACTATAAACAACCTAAAACATCCATCAATATGACATCAGATCAATAGATTATGATAATAGTGTGATGGAATTCAATGCAATAACAATTACACAAGAAGTACACCTGTATGAACTGCTGTGGAAAGGTATAGAATATTGTACACAATATGGTCCCCACTGGGTGACTTTCTTTAGTATTATAATTTGCAAAACATGCATGTATTACTTTTATTAAACAATTAAAATGTTAATAATAAAATTATCTGAGTGGTGGGATTTTTAAAGATGTTAGAAAGTTGTGAAAAGTAAGAGGAATGGATGAATAAAAACTCAAGCAGGAAGATGGTAAACTGAGATTGCCAGCTGTTTTCTTCTCTGGGGACATTTGCTGATCTAAATATAAACAGAAGGTGAGGCTCAGGTAGAAGGACTCTACTAGAGGAAAGAGAAGTTTTGATGGCTGCGAGTACTGGCAAGAAAACTGGAATACAGAGAGGCACCAAAGCAGTGTCACTTTTCTTCATGAGATATCTCTATTAGTAAGACAAGGCATGAGGCTGGAAATTTCTTAGAATCTCATGGTACTCAGGAGAAAAAGTCACACAACAGGGAGAGACTTCCAACAAACACACAACAGATTTATCTGCTCGGGGTGGGAGGCTAAAGAGCTAAGCTCAAAACCTCTGAAGGGAAAAACTTAAAAAAAAAAGGAGACAGAAAGGTACCAGATTCTGAATCAAGAGATTGGAGGTGGGGGAGGAGGTAGGAGGACAAGGTTGAATAAGCAGAGTGAAATTTCCCACAATCTCTCAGTGGTTAGAGACAAAGTTCCATTAGAGGAGGGGCCTACATCAAGCACATGACAAGTCTCTCAACTTGAAACCCAATGGACACAGTCTAAGTAATTCTGCAACCCAGCCTGACCCAGCTCAATTCTCCTTACCCTATGTGATTAAACAGAGGAAATGGCAAATCCTATCTGTGGGAAAACACTAATTTCACTACTAAGGTTCCTTTATATACAAAGTACAGCATACAATAAAAATTTTAAGACTCACAAAGAAAACAGCCAGAGGGAAAAACAGAATAAAAGATAATCCAAATGTTAGAGTTAACACACAAGGACTTTATAATAACCATTATAAATATATTAAAGAACACAGAGGAAAGAGATAAAATGGATGAAAAGATGAAGAAAAAGATGAAGAAGTGCAACAGAGAACTGGAGATTCAAGTGGATATTCCAGAACTGAAAAATATCTAAAATTAAATTCAGTGCATGCATTTATCAGTAGACTGGATACAGCAGAAAACAGGATTACTTTCTTAAACACAGGTCATTACAAAATACCCAAACTGAAAGAAGAAAAAAATGGAAAGAATAGAACAGAATGTAAGAGATAGATAGGATGCAAATCTTCTAACATATAAGTAACTGATTTCTCACATGGGAGGGAAAGAAAAAGCGGCAGTAGTAACTCATAATGGCCATGAAATTTTTAAAACTGATAAGCAAACAACAATGCACAAATTCAAATGCTGAGCAAACCCCATACAAAATAAATACAAAGAAAACTGTGACGAATCCTTGTTACAGTTAAAATTACTCTGAGTCGTATTTGCATCCTATGGGAAATGCTGGTATTTTTGTTTAGCCTTCTGCGGATTGTGGTTCCAGTGTTCAATTTTCAAAGCCTCTGCAGTGCTATACAGATCTGTCCACTTTGTACCACCTAGTGGTCAGTCTGGGACCTGAGTAGAGGTCTGCTTGGGTCAGTTCTCAAAGTCTATGATATGCTAAATAGGATCAGATTCACGCACCTACAGGATGGGGGTGAGCCCAGGATTTCATAAACGACTTTATGGGGTTGTTTTCTCCATCTTAATTATCAATCTGGTACTTTCTAGTTCCTTAGGACTCCTTTTTTGGACCTCTAGAGAGAAACTGTCCACTGCAGTGCCTTAGGGGCCAAGTAGAGGGGGACAGAGAGAGTGGGGAAAAAAAGCAGTGACACTGGCTTTGTTTTCTTGGAGCCACTGCTTCACTAAAGGGTGAGGAACATTTTGTCACTCAATGCCACTGGATTGCTTGGAGACTGGGGCCTGAGAATATGGAGAAAACAAGAGTGAAAAAAAAAAATCTGTGGGAATTCCCCCTCTGTCTGAGCTTTAGGAGTTTCCTTTCCCATTCCTTAAGTCAGGCTGCTTCAGGGTCCTTCTAGGTCTGCACCATAATATTCACATCCAGGTTTCATGCTGCCTTGAGTCCCGTCCAGGGGATACTGGAGTGAAAAAAAAAAGGTAAATTCACTTCTGGTGGTGGTACTTTGAATTCTCTGAGTTCTCAAATAGATGGATCATGATTTTTGTTTAAGTTTTACTGTTGAGTTCAGTGGGAAATGAAGGATAGCATGTGTTTACTCCATCTTAACCGGAACTAGAATCCTTAATTTGCTTTTTATCTTCAGGGACATAAGGACGTATCAAATAGCACCTTAAAGTCTGTGTTTGATATTCTGGAGCTCCTACAGTTCTGTTTCTGTTGGTTCTGGCTTAAAATGATTTTTAAGAGGGCCTCACAATGTTTGATTGTTTGACTCCGTATTTGGAAACTTATTTTTACAAATAATAGGCTGCTGCTAGCATCTTTTAAAGAGGATTTCTATTTTCTTTTGCCAGGTACTGGAGACCTAGGGCCAGGTCAAAACTTGAGGTTCTTCTGAGTTGCCTAGAGTACAGTCCACATTCTCTTCGGAGTTAGATACTTAAGTTCTCAATCAAGAACAAATGTTATGCTAGAGTGTTCTGGCCTTTGGTAGGCTCTACACTACGAACCTTCTCTCAGCAGCTCCTTCTCTCAGCTACGTTCTATGGATGGGAAAATAGCCCTGGGAAAGAAAACATCCTCTGGGGGGTACAGTCTCAGGATGAGTGGTAAGGGATTTGACACATCCAGAGTTTGTGCTTTTAACAAGTGCAGGATTCCAACTCTTTCACCTTTTCCTGGGAGCCTATTACCAAAAAATCTCAGTCTCTCAGTTGCTTTTTCTGTACTGGTAAATGCTCCAGGGCAGATATGGCTCCAGTTTACCTCTTTAAGGTCTAACTTGTCTGTTCAATGGCAGGTAGCTCTTCACTAGCCAGCTCCTTTAGTTGTTCTCAGTCAATACTAGAAACAGAAGACAAGTTTTTTAAACTAATTTTGCTCAGATTATAGGTGGTCCTTTGAATTGGGAGTCACATCTTTCTTTCATTCTGGAATGGCCTCTGCCACTGTTTCCTAAATACTTTCTTCTGCACTTTTTCTTTTACATTTCTTGGAATAGTGCTCAATTGCATTTTGTCTTTTTTTGCTCTATAAAGTTGATTTTCTCAAGTTACCTATTCCTTCTACTGTATGTTTCTGTGTTTTCTACTAAAATATGTCTTTGCATATTTAAAATAACCCCAAGAGGTATTTTTCTCAGTGACTGTCTTTCTTCCAAATATCCTGTTCTTGTTTTAAGGAATGAATTTTTATATCTCTCTGTGCAGAGTTCTAGAAATGGCTTTCTTCTCCTCCTCAAATTAACTATTTTCTCCAAAATCTGTAAGCTCACTTACTAGGTTCTTTATCATCACCCCTCAAAAATCCTGGTTCTCTTATAACTGGTGATCCCTTGCTGTCAGTTCTAATTAACACAAGATGACCAAGTACCTAGTATCATCTAAACAAATCTGTTTTCTGGTCACAGCTTGTCTTTTTGTAGGTGTTCTGACTGTGAATTCCATGCAGGATGACCTAATCGCTCAACTTTGCTTCATGATAATGCCCGAGTTACTGGGACTTTATTCCAGGCACCACATCCAGACTAAAATGCTCCATTTCAACAAATTTTCTACTAATATTTCTATGAGATACTCTTTGGTGTTTTTTGCATGGGGAGAATGTTGGCTGATTACACTCTGGCTGGGGCAAGGAAGGAGGTCTTGAGGGTACGGGCCCCCTTCTGTAGCGCCACGTAACTCCCACACTCTGCAACATCCAATCTAGGGTTCTGTTGGGCAATTGCTTCTCACCATCCAAAGAGTTTGGAGGTTGTGGTTTCTCTTCCTCTTGCAGCCTTCAGATCAATTTTGTCTCCCAGGGTCCATGTTGTTAACCACTACATTATACTACCTCTATGTTTTTATACACAACCACATTTGATACTAGTTAGTAATTATTATGTGCCAGGAACAAAAAAATTTACAGGTACTGATGCTTATAAGTACCCTACAAGGACTTCCCTGGTGGCGCACTGGTAAAGAATCCGCCTGCCAATGCAGGGGACATGGGTTCGAGCCCTGGTTCGGGAAGATCACACATGCCACAGAGCAACGAAGCCCGTGTGCCACAATTACTGAGCCTGTGCTCTAGAGGCCGTGAGCCACAACTACTGGGCCCGCATGCCACAACTTACTGAAGCCTGCGCACCTAGAGCCTGTGTTTCACAACAAGAGAAGCCACTGCAATGAGAAGCCTGCGCACCGCAACGAACAGTAGCCCCTGCTCGCTGGAACCAGAGAAATCCCATGCACAGCGATGAAGATCCAAAACAGCCAAAAAATAATAATAAAAAAAAGAACCCTATGAAACAGAGCTGGAGAAACTGAATAGAGACTAAACAATATGCTGTAAGTGTCAGAGCAACCTCTGCTTTCATATTTTTCAAAATCAGAATCCTTTTATTTTAACCCAAAAGTCGATATTTCTAGATACTAGTCCAAAGTCTAGGAAATCCGAAAACTGTTAAGGTTTACTTATTCTATGCTAAACTTATATAATATTTGGAAATCGCCAATAGGCTGTTATATGCCAGATTTAGCATGATGTAATTCAGTGAAAGGGACTCAAGTGAAAAGAGTGAAAAACCAAATGTTTCATTTTTCATTATGACTAAGTGCAGGATAAGGAGGAGTCAAAGTGGGGGGAAAACACACACACGTCCTTTTCCATAGGCACAGTTTTAAAATTCAACTCTTATTCCTCAAATTTCAACCTAAATGATGTAGAGAATTTTTTTCCTTTCTACTTTATAAGGACTCTTAAATTTTCTTTGATAGTTTTTAACTGCTACACTTATTTTACTGTTGCCCTTCTCAGAATTTCAGAGAAAATCCTATGAAATCTAATCAAACTAAGTCACAGTCTTCCAAAAGTTAGAAAAAAAAAAAAAAACCCAAATAGTAGATTAAGTTAAAACTACAAGCTTACTCCTTGCTTCATTCAAATAGTAACATGATTAAAACATACTATAGGAACAGTAATCAATATTTTTACAAAGAAAGGTATACTGTCATTAAAAATTGGCAATTCACTGATTAATTAATTCAATGTTTTACTCAATTTATTTCCATGAAACAGCTAATCTGGCATTCATATTATTATTTTAGAAAGCTAGCTAAAACATTAGAAGTAGACATTTGCACATTAGCAGGGAGAAAAAAAGCCTGACTATGACTTCTCAGTTTCATTCAGATCAATCTAAGTTTCATTCAGTATCTCCAGGCAAAGTACGGTACATAATAGATACTCAGTAGACATTTCATAAATGACTAAATGTAGTTGTACACCTATTTTAAAACTAAGATTTCAAAATAATTAAATACAAATAAAACTTCTAGAATACAGAATACTATATTTCAGCACTAAAGATCCTAAAAATGTTCAAAAAGCTTAGATAGAAATATTTTTAAAGTATTTTTACTATCCTCCCTTTCACTGTAGTGATTCTTTTCTTTTGTATCACCAAACAAAAGGGCTCAGATAGTTTCTGACAACAAAACTCACCAAAAATGTTGGTCTTTACAGTAAGCGCAAGATGAGTATTATTCCTCAAAATTTCAAGGGCCTTCACAAACGTTATATTCTCAAAGTTTTGTCCATTTACTTCCATTATCTTGAGAAAAGTGTTTGAAAAATACAAATTAAGACAAAAACAGTATTAGTTATTTCTGCAATCTTAAGTTTAATGGTGAAAAAATAAAACTTAAATAAAATGCACCTGTGTGTGAACAATGGTTAATTCTGTGAGTAGTGGAATTACTACCTAATTTTTTTTCTCTGTTTTGTGGTATTTTCCTAAATCTCTACTATAAACATTTTTTTTTTAAAGTTCACTCCCGGGCTTCCCTGGTGGCGCAGTGGTTGAGAGTCCACCTGCCGTTGCAGGGGACACGGGTTCGTGCCCCGGTCCGGCAAGATCCCACATGCCTCAGAGCGGCTGGGTCTGTGAGCCATGGCTGCTGAGCCTGCGCGTCCGGAGCCTGTGCTCCGCAACGGGAGAGGCCCGCGTACCGCAAAAAAAAAAAAAAAAAAAAAAAAAAGCAACAAGCACAACTGTGATGGGGTCTTGCTCCATTTGACACTGCTGATCACTCACATCAGGGCTTCACAAACTTGGCTGCACCCCAGAATCATCAGGAAGCTTATTCAAAAAGTACTAATTCCAAGGAAGAAGGATAAAGAGATAAACACAATGAGAAAAATAAGGCAGCACAGAGGACAGAGCTCAAGGATTGACACAAAGATTTCAAAAGGATAAAAAAGAGTGAGAAACAAAATATTAGGAAAAGAAAAAGAAAAAAAAAGTCACAGAGGTAAAATCACCAGAGTTCAAAAAAGTCTTCAGTCTACATACTGAAATGGATCATCTAGTACCAGGCAAAAAAATAAATTAATTAATTAAAAAAAAAAGATCCCATGAAAATTCTGAATTCCAAAGACTTAGAACAAAGACTTTATAAGGATCACTGTGGGGGTTGTTGGTGGTGGGGCGGGGGGAGGAGGAGAACCAGAGGTACCTAGAAAAGAAAAATAAAGGATGGTTTGGACTTCTTTTGAGCCACACTAAGTGATGTGATACTTTTCTGTGACTTCAATGTTCTGAGGGAAGAATGACTGTGATAAAAAATTGAACAAAAAAGTATCATCAAGACATGTAAGGACACAAAGTTATAGTACTCATTTACCCTTTTTGAAAAAAGTACTAGAAAAGGTACTAGAAGTATTAGAAGACAATCGTGAGATAAAATAATGGGGACATATGGGCATAGATGAAGTGGAGGTGATCGATGAAATCAGTAAGGCAGGTGCAAATATCTAAATGACTGTTAATAATAAGCTTATGAAACTTAATGCAAATGTCAAAGTACTCTTAAAAGAGAACATCCATAATGTTAAAAAATGACTTATAATCTAGATCTAAAATCTCAGATAATTTCAACCATACTTGGGAGGACTGAGGGAAGAAGTAAAAACATGATAAATTTCTCTCCTCTGTCAGGAATGAAACCACTGGATTTTTCTTTTTTTTTTCTTCCTGTGAAGAACGAGATTCTTAAGTATGTTTACCAAAAAATACTAGAACAATAAATATAATGACTCCAGGTTCCTTGCTACTAGATATTCTTAATGAGTAGTCTGAGTAAGGTCCAGAAATCTCTATTCTATAAAACTCCCTTATGGGAAGAAGGGAATCATTAAAACTTTATATCAGAGTTTCTTTTCTAAAATTACATCATTTTCTAAATTTTAAAATATTTTATTACGATATACGTTTTACTTATTATGTGTGAGTTTCTTAACCCCTTGCACTATTAATATTTGGTCTGGATAACTCTGTTGTGGTGGCTGCTTTGTCACGGGGTGTTGTAGGCTCTTTAGCAGTATCCCTGGCCTCTATCCACTAGATGCCAGTAGTAATTCCCAAGTCATGACAATCAAAAATAACTCCAGACATCACCAAATGTCTCCTGGGTGACAAAATTACTGCTGGTTGAGAGCCACTGTCCTGAAGTATAGACCTTTTCATAATGTGAATGCCCTCTTTTTTTTGGCCTCGTGGCATGCAGGATCTTAGTTCCTTGACTAGGGATTGAACCTGTGCCCGCTGCAGTGGAAGCATGGACTCTTACCCACTGAACCACCAGGGAAGTCCCTGTGAATGCCCTCTTAATTTAAAAAAATGACAGTATGGTTTGGTTAAAAGTAAGATAAAGTCACATTCTAAATGAATGTGTGAACAAACCAAAATTTTTAAGTGGAACAAATTCAGCTTCCCAAGTGATTCAGTTAGATGAGAAACCACTCTTTGGTGTACATGATAATTATCTAGACTCTTTGGTGTACATGAGAATTATCTGAGAGCTTTGTTCAAAATACAGATTTCCAGTCTTCGTCTCTGCAGAATGTGATTAATATGATTACTAAGACTGAGGTGGGTCTAGGAATTGTATTTTTTAGTAAAAAGGCTGTCCATAATCTCATTTTTGAAATATATTGTTCTATAGTTAACTAATGCCTACATGGAGAGAATAAATCCCTATCAACTTACTCCCAGTGTCTCCTTCCTTTTCCTAGTCCCTCAGCCAGCTCACTCTGCTTATGGATGTAGTTCTGTTACCATATGTACATTACTTAAACCAAAACCATCATTTATGGTAATCTTAGGCCACTTAGAGTAAAGGTAGAAGTGCTTACTCCTTTACAGCATGCAAGGGTAGGGTGCTAATTCTCATATGGATCTTTCTGGAATACTGTGAAGTTGCCAACTGATAGAGGTCCTAATCCTTGGAGGATATGCAGGACCATTCAGGTTGATAGTGGCCACACTACCATGCTGTTTCTGGACGTACTATATCAAATTTACCATTAAAAGTAATGGATATATGACAAAGACATTTTTAAAATAAACAATTTAAAAAATACTACCTCTAAAAAGAAGCTTAAAAAATACTTCCTAAAATTTACCATGCTTACTTGAAGAAATATCAGATGAGGAAAAAAGTAGCACACCTATTACTTATAAAAAGGCTTTAAGTGGTTATTATTTACTTACCTGATCACCACGTTTCAGTCCTGCATCAGCAGCTTTGCTACCAGGTTCTACACCTTCAACAAAAATACCAAATGCCTTCTCACTTCCTCCATTTAGGCTGAAATGCAGAGGGGACTCCCGGGAAGCCTTTTGCAGCACAACCTGTCTCCACTTAGCCTTTGCAGCACAGGCAATATTCAATAACCGGAGATGACCATTCATTTTCTAGAAAGTAGAAATGGGTAAGGTATATATAAATGTGTATATTTATTCCTATAGACTTTTATAAATCACCTAAAATTATTAGAATTAGAGCTATATTTAAAATATAGAGGAAATAAAGAACATATAAATCGGGGTAAATAAAACTGAAGGAGGGAAACATTCCACCCTAGAGCACTCTCAAGAATAAGATCTCTTAATATGATTTTTTTAAAGTTTCTAGAAAAGGTTAGAAAAGATTTCAAAGTGATGTCTCATTTAGAGAGGGATGACAAAAAAAATTTCTTCTTCATTTTCTGAACCTTACTAATACATAATCTGTTATTACCAGCTTGCTTATCTCCTGGCTGTTACATAAAACCAGAATCTTTTTAAACCTTTATTTAAAACCTTAAAGGACTTGAACCACCTTCCCAACATTGTGTAACATTCAAAGACACATTCAAGTCTCCATCTCTTCTAGAAATATTATTCTTATATTATTTTAGATCTTCCTATATTATTTTAGATCTTCCTTAAACTTAGTAATATTCTAACTTTCAGGTTCTAATATCAGTTTAATATTTAACTATTCTCGAATAGTGTACTAAGTAAATCTCATGTCTATAATAAGAAGCTAAATTTTTTTCAGGGTAGGAACCAAGTCTTACACCTGTTGTGATCCTATATAACAGCTTGGAGTATAAAGTAGAATTCAATAAATACTTGATGACTGACTCAATTACTGGGGGAAAAAATCCCATGATTGTAAGGCAGTTTCTATTTTCCATAAGCCCCTTGAATATTTACATAGCCAGCACTGGAAGAGCCTCTATGGACCTCTTAATCAAGTTCCCTGTTCATCCCCCCCATTTCACATAGAGCAGATGTGCTGCTGAAAAGTCTACAGGAACCAAGAGGTAAGGAAAGGGACAAAATAATCTGCCAATTTCCCCCTCTTTATTCAACTTAATCCACTTGTACTATGAGTAATAACAATGGTTCTTGAAAATGTGCTATGTGCCAGGTTTTGCTGGCAGATTCTTATGTTTATTAACCCACTAAAATCCTCACAACAATCTCAACAATCTGGAGGCTACTGTCTATAAAATAAGACAACTGAGGCATATAAGGTTGGACAACTTGTCCAAGTTCACATATGCACCAAGTGGTGAAGTCTGAATGTTAATTCAGGCAATCTGACTCCTGAGCTGCATTATTATTTACTTCCTAAAATTTCAAGTTTCTTGGAGCAGATAACCCAGTTGCAGTTCAAAGTTTTGTCTCTAATAGGGAGAATAAAATGGATTTATAAATAGCTACCATGAAAGTTAAGAAGACCTTGAGGGTATTAATCGTAGGTGTTGTATATTAAGAACAAGTGAAATCACATGCAGAAGGGAGACTTAGTCTAAAGTAGATCTGATAAAGTATGTGTATTTGTATGCCTAAATCAGTGAAAACTGTGGAAGAAGCATGATTTTTGTTTGGGCTGAAGTAGCAGAGGATGAACAGAAGTCTAGAATACAGATTTAGAAGTTCTCAGAACAGGCAATCAAGACACAGGAGAAGATGAAAGCTGTTCTGAGTTGCTATTCTTCGGGGGTGGGGTGGGAGGTTGGTAAGAATCCCTAAACTCTGAAGAAGATAAAATTCTTCTGAGCCTTACTGTATCTTCCAGATTTTTTTCAAATTCCTCCAGAAATCGAGTCATAGCAGGATCACCTTCAAAATCATTAAAATGATTATTTACCCATAATAGTACAATCCGTGTCACCTGCGGAAACATGGAAGAGGCAGCATACGATTATACGAGAGGCATTCTTTCTGCAAAAGTAGGTTCCAAAAGCATGTCTTAAACCGAGGGGAAATTGAGCTTTATGGCTAATCCCTTTGCCTACCTGCTCACACACAAAAGGCTCATTCTAACAGAGAGGCATGTTTTAGTTTGAGCTTTTGCTTCCTTACGTACACAGGTAACAGAGAAAGCCAAGACTGCCTTCACTGAAAAAACAAGCCTGTATACTAACATGTAAGAAGTACATGGGATATATATTTTGGACAGTATCTTAAAACGCAAGCCGCCAAGAGCAGGCAAATGTCAAAAGTGTTTCTTTAGCTGAGAACATGTTTCACCAAAATTGTAATAAAAATCTGAAACTTCCTTCGTAAATACTGTGTATTTTCAAAGTTGTGAACTGATTTATTACTTTGTACCACAGATTAACAGAAAAGTTAAAAACTAACAAATGAAGGTTGAATTAAATAATGTGTCTACAGGGAACTCTACTCAGTGCTTTGTGGTGACCTAAATGCAAAGGAAATCCAAAAAAGAAGGGATATATGTATACGTATACCTGATTCACTCTGCTGTACAGCAGAAATACAACACTGTAAAGCAACTACACTCCAATAAATATTAATAATAATAAAAAGCTTCTGAATATTAAGAAAAGACAGAGGAGCCAAAATAAGATCAAAAGAAATAAGCCAGAGAATTTTCCAAAATCTAAAAAAAAAAAAAAGGAAAAAAAAAAGTGCCTAACAATATAAGTAATTTAAGTCATATACTTTTAAAATTGTGGTAAAATACACATAAAATCCACCATTTTAACCACTTTAAAGTGTACAATTCAGTGGCATTTAGCACATTCACAATTGTGTACAACCATCCCCACTACTAGCTCTAGAACATTTTCATCACCCCAAAAGAAAACCCCATTCCCAATAAGCAGTCACCTCCCATTCTACCCTTCTTCCAGCCCCTAACAGCCACTACTTACTTGCTTTTCTGTCTCTGTGATTTGTCTACCTGGATACCTCATACAATATGTGATCTTTTATGACTGGCTTCTTTGTCTTACCATAATATTTTCAAGGTTTATGCATGTTGCAGCATGTATCAGTATTTCATTTTTTTTTAATGGCTGAATAATATTTCATTATATGGTATACCATATTTTGTTTATCCATTCATCAGTTGATGGACATTTGGGTTGTTTCCACATTTTGGCCATCATCAATAGTGTTGCTATGAACACTGCTTACAAACTTTTGTTTGCACACCTATTAGCTCTTTTGGATATATGCAGGAGTAGAACTACTGGGTTATACGGTAATTCTATGTTTAACTTTTTGAAGAACCACTAAGCTGTTTTCCACAGCAGCTACACCATTTTACATTACTATAAGCAAGTATGGGAATTCCATTTTCTCCACATCAACACCCTTAAAATGCCTGTTATTTCCTTTCCTTTTTTTAAGTCATCTTAGTGGGTGTGAAGTGAACAAAACCATCACTGTGGTTATGATTTGCAATTTCCCTGACTAATGACACTGAACATCTTTTTCATGTGATTGCTGGCCATTTACATATCTTCTTGGGAGAAATGTCTATTCAAGTTCTTTGTCCATTTTAAATTGTATTGCCTTTTTGGTGTTGAGTTGTAAGAGTTCTTTATACGTTCTGGATACTAGACCCTTATCAGACATATGATTTGCAAATATATTCTCCTATTCCATGTGTTGTCCTGTTTTTCCTGATAGTACCTTTAATGTAGAAAAGGTTTTAATTTTGATGAAGTTCAATATATCTATTTTTTCCATTGTTCAAGGTTGAGCTTTGGGTATCATACCTAAGAAACCATTGCCTAATCCAAGGTCATGATTTTTTTTCACCCCTTCTTTTCTTTGAAGAGTATTATAGTTTTAGCTCTAATATTAGGTTTCTGATCCATTTTGAGTTAATGCTGAATACGGTATAAAGGTCAAACTTCATTCTTTTACACATGAATATTTAAGTTGTCCCTAAATCATATTTTTGTTCATTCTCTAGCATGCCTTTATTTCCTCAGCAACCTAAGTAACTATATATAATTTCAAAATCAGGAGGAAGGCAAGCCTGTAGTTTTGGACACTTGAGTTTCCTAGACGATAGAATTCCACAGTCCAACTACATCTAACTTATTTCCCTTAAAGTATAACTCAGAAAGATACACCAGGCAATTATTAATTACTATGGCCCTACTTTTATTTTTCTTAAAATGACTAACTTACTACCTGTTACTGAGGTAGTTTACTGGTAGCAATGTACCAGTAGCTGAGGTATCACTATTCTTTCCATGGGAAGTACAAACACCCCATAAAATAAGGTAAGATAATCTATTTATAACAGCAGACAATGTTTAATGCAAAAAAAAAAAAACCTCAAAGCTAGATTAAAATAAGTTACAGCTGTGATAAATTAAGGTCAAAAAGATAAACTGTTTTAAAATGATTATAAAGTCTTTAACTCAAAAATCAATGTATTTCTAATTCTATTTAAATTGTTTCTAAGCCCTCTTGAAAAAATTTACTTGGTGGATATTCTTTCTAAACTATTAAATGACTTTTAAATGTTTTATTGATCTCCTCAGTAACCACCAATTATTTTGATAAAGTGTAAAAATATTATCATCCACCTTCTGAATTTACAGCTACACCACAGCCTGCTTTCAGTTTTTGCCTTTTAAAAGGCAAAACATCCACTTTTAACATTCTATTCTGTCATAAAAGTAACCAAGCAGAGATATGTCTATACTGATTCACTAACTTTTTAGGCGAATTGAATCTTATCAAAATAAACATTTAATTTGTCAGTTGCAAAAGGTTTTGGGGGAATAAAATTTAAAATCACTTTCATGCCTTTTATAATTATAAAACCAACCTTATCCCTTAAGCTGTCAATTTTGAACCATTCCAATAGTTTGGTCCCAACATCCAAAGGACTTTCAAGAAATGTTCTATAAGTTAATAGGAAATCTTCTATATAAGTTGGGTCCACAATGGAATGCTCTTCTATTAAATGCATGATGAGACGCTCAGGTGTTGCCTAAAAAAGAAAAATATAGGAAGAATTAGAAAATAAACAAGTAGCTCAGGAACCAAAGAACTCCTATTGATTACTTCCTTTTGTAGCCACTCTATTACAAAGTCCTTGAAGTAAAGTTTCACCTTTAAAACCCTCAGCACTGGGAGTAGGTAGTCTCTCTAGGTTGTAGTCCATCACCCAGAGGTTTAGAGACAGAAAAGGCAGAGGAATAAACATGCACAACAGCATTTACTCGGCCGTAGTTGTTTTTATTGGCATTTCATCATAGGAATGGGGGGATAATGTAATGACTGTTGCGAGTAAAGAGAAGGAAGAGGTAAGAGTTAAATTAAAGAAGTAAATAAAGTTTTCTTCCAAATTTAATCATCCTTAAATTCTCTTCTGTCCCAGGCTATAGGAACAACATAGCAGCTCAAGATAGCTTGTTTTACTGTTGTTACTTCTGGGAATAGAGGTTTCCTCTTCTATGGTTTCTTCATTCTAGTTCACCAGAGGAACCAGAAGTTCTATAGATAGTTTTTACATTAACTCAGAGTTTAACTCCTTGCCTGTTTCCCAATTTATAAAAAGGAATGCAAACAACATTTATCTACTGCTCCTTCTTGAGCTTCTGAATCAATGTTAAACTATATTACCTTAGCAGCATTTTCAAAAATGGGTACACAAAACAAATACAGAAATAAGCCAGATGTTAAGCCAAATATAAAAACCAACTGTTGCCCATAACCTCAAATTTCAATTTGTTGCATTCATGCAAAGAATTTCACTGGCCAGAATTATTGCATGGCAAACATAGATTAATACTAACGGTGTTCTTATTTGAGAATTTATTAAAAAATAAAAAAGGGTACCCCACTGCTAATAAGGTATGTAAATCATTTCTCTAGAAGGAAGTCAGAGGAAAGTCTCTTTGAAATACCTATTTAAGGGACAAGACAACCACAGGTCATTCCTATTCTTCTCCCACCCTCCAAAATACTCCAAGAATACCAAACTGGGTCTATCATTAAGGCAAATCACAATCTGAGTTCACTTAAAATGCGGTTCTTAGATCATATATAGCTAAGTCAGGGGTGGAAATGATCAACATGTTAAAGAAAGGCCATTATTCTGATTAGCTAAATCACTGAGGCAGGATCTCTGCGGAGACTAGGCCATATATTCAAAACTGTATTTTTTTTTTTTTTTTTTGCAGTACGCGGGCCTATCACTGTTGTGGCCTCTCCCGTTGCGGTCCGGACATGCAGGCTCAGCGGCCATGGCTCACGGGCCCAGCTGCTCCACGGCACGTGGGATCTTCCCGGACCGGGGCACGAACCCGCGTCCCCTACATCGGCAGGCAGACTCTCCACCACTGCGCCACCAGGGAAGCCCTCAAAACTGTATTTAAAGACAAGTCCCTGGGACTTCCCTGGTGGTTCAGTAGCAAAGAATCCACCTTACAATGCAGGGGACTCGAGTTTGATCCCTGGTTAGAGAATTAAGACCCCACATGCTGCGGGGCAACTAAGCCCATGCACCACAACTACTGAGCTTGCACACCTCAGCTAGCAAGCCCACGTGCCACAAACTACAGAGCCCACGTGCGCTGGAGCTTGTGCGCCACAACTAGAGAAGAGAAAACCCGCACGCCACAACTAGAGAGAGGTCCATGCACCACAAGAAGATACCATGTGCCGCAATTAAGACCCGACACAGCCAAAAATAAATAAAATAAATAATAAATCAATCTTTATTTTTTTAAAAAAAGACAAGTCCCATTGTCATGCAGAGGCATGTTACCAAATTGCTCACTAGCATCTAATAAGGTGGATGCTGGGTGACAGGGTACGCAGAGTGGGCAGGCGAAGGAGATGGCTGGCATGGTAGAGGTTGGTTATGACGAACAAATAAGTAAATATACAGAGCATAACAAGAGCCACTGTTGGATAAAGTATTTACAAGTAGGGGAAGGAAAAGGCTACCAAAAACTTTGTGGTATAGTACTGGAACTGGGAGTACTGGTATGAACTCTTGACTGTTATCAATAGATAGACAGATATAAGAAGATATAGGTATGTATGAATTTATAGTAAATAAATACATATATTTCCTACCTCTGTCTGATGAAAAGTTCTAGAAGCAATGACACCACAGTAGCAGTGAACAGAGTGCCCAGATCTTGGTTTTTTAATGCTGTTCTCTACTAGAAGGATCCAGGGCTCTCTAGAGAAATGTCTGATTCCAAAGCAGGGGCAGTGAAAGATGAGCCTGGAACATCTTGTTTTGCCAGATAATAATGAAGCTCTCAAAAAATGATGGGGACATGTCAAAAGGATACAGGAATCAGCCTTAAGAGGGTCCCACTGGCCAAATCTGGGACAATCTGACGATCAGAACAACACTGATGGTAAGGGAATACAATACATGAGACCATAACAATATAATTAAAGAGGGGGAAAATGCTCATTCTTACAGTAGAATGACAATAAATGTAGAAGAAATAATGGAAATAGAAAATCACCATTACAGGCAGGAGTAGTCAATCGAAGTAAAGACTGGTGGATAGAGGTTTGTAAGACATACTGACACTATCCCAGAACATCAATGCTCCAAATGCTCATCAATTACAAAGGGTAAAATGGTGGCTTTAAGTGAAGAAACTTGACAGACACCAAGAGGACCAGGTGATTAAGGTTAACTTCACTGGTGGTGAGATAGGTTGACATTGTATGATCCCTGAAATGATGCACTGAGAAAAGCACAACATTATTTCTGTGGAATTCCTGCCTGGAAAGCATGACTGTAGTCTGGGCATGAGGCAACACAGGATAGATCTTGTCTGAGGGTCATAGTACAGACTGTAAGGGCTGTATTCTTTAAAACTGCTGAGAACGTGAATAGGGAAAGACTGTTCCTGGCGTAGACTTAAGTGACATGACAACTAAACGCAACTGTGTGCCTGGATGAGATTCTGAACCAAAAAGGAAAAAAGAGCCATTGTTGGGATAGTTGGTGAAAATCTAAATAGCGTCTGTGGACTGAATGGTTTTACTTTATCAATGTACATTTCCTAACTTGAAGGTTTCTATGGTGTTTATATAGGAGACTGTTCTTGCTTTTAGGATATACACAATGAAACATTTAGGAGTGAGGAGGCATCACATTTGCAGACTGCTCTCCAACGGTTGAAAAAGACTGATGATAATGGAGAAAATGCAGTGAAATGTTAACATTTGGGGAAGCTGAGTCAGGGTGTTCTCTGTACTGTTCTTGCAACTCTTCTGTAAGTTTGAAATTACAGGGCTTCCCTGGTGGCGCAGTGGTTAAGAATCCGCCTGCCAATGTAGGAAACATGGGTTTGAGCCCTGGTCCAGGAAGATCCCACATGCTGCGGAGCAACTAAGCCCGTGCGCCACAACTACTGAGCCTGCACTCTAGAACCTGCAAGCCACAACTACTGAGCCTGCGTGCCACAACTACTGAAGCCCGTGCACCTAGAGCCTGTGCTCCACAACAAGAGAAGCCACCGCAATGAGAAGCCTGCGCACCGCAACAAAGAGTAGCCCCTGCTCGCCGCAACTAGAGAAAAGCCAACAAAGACCCAATGCAGCCAAAAATAAATAAATTTGTAAAAAGAAAAAAGAAATTATAAAAATATAAGGCTCACCATGAGCCTTCATAAAAAGATAGTCTATGGCAGTCCACATATATACTCATTTTTTTCTACATAGAAAGCTTACGCCTATCAACTTAGGAAAAGAAAAAGACAGTGTTGAGGAATAGCCTGACTCCTGAGAAATATCTTATCTGACACCAGTCCCTCTTATTGTTAAATAAAGCTTCTGCACTTATAATGAAAAATAACACATGTACTTATTTTGCAACCAAGACTTACTTGAAAAGAAAAAAAGGTCATGCATTTACTTCCTCTCTTGCAACTAGAATTGCTCTATTTTACATCTACATGTCATAAAAGAGACAGGGAGATGGGAGAGTGGAAGGCAAGGGGGCAAGGAATAGGGGAGAGAAGGAATTAGAGAAGGGAAAACAATACGGGTAGTAATACTATAGCATGCTAAGGCTTTTGATTTGCCACATTTAGCCCTAATAAAGCCCTGCCATAGCATCCCCATTTTCAGATATGAAAATTGAGGTTCAGAGAAGTTAATGTCTATTTCAATGCCACAGAGATCTAGTAAGCACTCATTTAGGATTCTTTATACATTTATGGTTGGTCCTTTCAATTTCTGTTTTGTTTCTAAATATTGCTGTCTTTGATGAAATTAATTCCCATTATCAACGGATAATACAATAAATTTGAGAAGGAAAATTTTGACTGGTATATTCTAAATAATATCCTTCCATACTGATATTAAATGGCAATGTTACCCTTCCTCAATAAAATGTGTAAAAACCAACTTAGAAAAAGTCAAAAGAATTAACACATTTATTTACACTAGATCCCAAAGTTAATGAATTATCTTGCACTACTCAAAAAGTGGTTCAAAACCTTTTAAGCAAGATGAAAGCTTTATTCTATCAATAACAAGAAAAATAAGTAAAAAATACCCACCTTGATTACAATGTGTCCTTTCCTGGTTCCACTGCGATCTAGTTCACGGTGCTCATGTACCATAACAATTTCTCCTTCTTCCTCAACTTTATGGGTATTTTTTTCCACATGATTTAAAATTCTCCAATAATCCTGCTGGGCTATGCAGACAAACTGTCCGAGAACAACATGGGGACAATTAATGAACCTATAATACATAAATATATCACTATGCACCAAGGCAGAGCACAAAGGTGAGAACTCAAGTGGCGTAAGTTCTTTATTTCATCCCTTCATTCCTTAACAAAAATCAAGATAAAATAAACAATTCATGCACAAAAAGACCAAAGAAATTAAATCCATTTGAATTCTGCTCTAAAAGGAGAAGTGAGCATCTACTTCTCTCAAAACTGACACTATGCAAAGAAAACATGAAGCAGGAGTAAGTTAGAAACAAACAACTCAGAAGTTCCTATTTCTTCCTCTATTGAAAAAAAACAAAAAAGAGACTGAGCTGGCTAATACCAGATAGAAATTTAACAAATCAACATTTATTAGATATATTCTCTTTTAAAATATGTATAGTTTGTTCAATTCCACAAATATTTGAGTCCGATATAAAATCTAGTTTCCTTTATTAACTGTGAGCTTTTCAAACCCCCAATTCTCAAATCAAGCTATTTTATTTTGGGGAAGGAAAAAAAAGCTCAGCCATTTAAAATCAAGAAACAAGAGTACACAAGCAGACATAAGCTTACCTGACAATCGTCTACTTTAGTCCTAACAACTCCATGAGTGTACTGCTTATCCAGAGTGGGTGTAATTCCAAAACTATTTCCCATAAAGAGATTTTCAACTTTTCCATCTGGATGACTAATTTCTACAGTGCCGTTTAAAATAACATACCATGAGTCAAGCTATAGAGAAAAATATAGGCTTTAAGAATCTTTGGGAAAAGAGGGTTACATGTTAACTTTGAAAAATAATCAATCAATATATAGAACTCGTATAATTTAAAAAAGAAAAAAGAAGATCTGATTATATTACTAAATACTCTGTCAGTAACACCCTATTCCTGTTAAGCCAACCACTAAAGTTTATTTTACTCTTTCTTCTTTTAGTCACCAAATGAAATCGGGGACTCTCAGTAACTGTTATGGTTAAGACCACCAGCTCTGGGCTTCCCTGGTGGCGCAGTGGCTAAGAATCCGCGTGCTAATGCAGGGGACTATGGGTTCAAGCCCTAGTCCGGGAAGATCCCACATGCTGTGGAGCAACTAAGCCCGTGCACCACAATTACTGAGCCTGTGCTCTAGAGCCCGTGAGCCACAACTACTGAAGCCCCCACGCCTAGACCCTGTGCTCCGCAACAAGAGAAGCCACCGCAATGAGACGCCTGTGCACTGCAACGAAGAGCAGCCCTCCTCACTGCAACTAGAGAAAGCCCACGTGCAGCAACGAAGACCCAATGCAGCCAAAAATTAAATAAAATAAAATAATAAAAAAATAAAAGGCTACAAATGGCACAGTCCCATTAATACAAAAAAAAAAAAGACCAACAGCTCTTGGAATTTGAATCCAGAATCTGCCACTGACTAGCTGAGTGACTCTGGGCAAGTTATTTAACCTCCTAGGCTTCAGTTTCTTTACTGCTAAAATGGGCATAACAACATTACCTATCACAGGACTTTTGTGTCCATTAAAAATGAGTTTAATACAAACCAAGTGATTAGAATAGTGTCTGGCACATAGCAAACATTCAAAAGAAAGAAAGAAAAAAAAAGGGAGCTAGTGATTAATTCAGAAAAACTATTAAAAGCCTGAATTTTAAGGCATATCTTAAAAAATACTGAAAATTTCTCCTAATGTTAAGAAAATACTGCTCTCAATTTATACCAAAGTATTTAATGCTCTAAGGAGACATATTCTAAGGCCTATTGTATATCAGTGAAAGACTACTTGTTCTCATGTGGTATCCCTTTTATTAGCCTAAACTTTCAATTTTAATGTGAATCAGTTTTAATGTGATTTAAGGGAAATCTGGATTATCAGTTCTGAAGGAGAATCACTGGCAACAAGAAATATTTTTTCAAAACTGTTTTTTTTTAATTTTTAGTTATTTCAAATATAAAATACATTCATTGTGGAATTTGTGGATTACACAAATTACTTGAGGACAGGGGCTGTATTGGGGTTTTCCACCACTATTCTCACTGTGTACCTAGCACAAAGTAGGCACACAACAAATTTTTGCTGACAGAACCGTGGAATATTAAAAGAAGACAAAATTTGTGGAAAAGTAAAGTTATTCAAAACCCCACTATTTATACAGTTGTCATCAAAAGTTTAGTATTTTTCTCCCATGTTTATATTATTTCATATTGTTGAACTATTTAGGCTATCCTGTCCTTTTAAAAAAATTTAATACTATACTCATTTGTTCATCAAACTTTTTTTTAGTATATCCTATATGCCAAACGATTTCTAGGATACAGGGAGAAAGCATGTAGACAAAGCTAGAGCTAAGGCCCCTGCCCTCAAAGATATCTATCAAATTTTAAAATAACTTGAAAACCTATATAATATTATAACCTGTGGCTATATAATAATTTAGTTAACCACTGTTTTTTCGCGGGGGATATATTTTGGTCATTTCCAATTTTTACTATTATACATATTCTGCAATGAATATCTTTTGGCATAACTCTTTGAGTTTTATATTGTGTCTGGAGGAGAGACATTAAAAAGGGGAATAATGGGTTAGAGGCTGTTAATACTTTGAAGCCCATGTTAAAAATTTCTAAATGATTTTCCAGAAATACTGTTTATATTCCTACTAGCAGTATATGACAATGTGCACTGACTGACATTTCACCATTAATTTTTATCAGTTCGATAAGAAAACCAGTGAAGTGCTACCTAACAGCAGTAACACTTTTCAATTCCTCTGAATCCTCCCTCTGCCCATCTGCAAGTTGCCATCCAAGCATTTTTGAAAATAGAATTGCCACATAAATGCCTCAACTGACAACAGTCTACTAGGAGGCACAGGTACCAATACATTTCCTTCATTTAAAAAAAAATGTATAATATGAAAAAGGGATAAGGAGATTACATACTTGAAAAACATTTTAATAATAATGTTATAAATATACTAATATAACAATAATTACTGAGATGTATACACTGATGTGTATAAAATGGATGACTAATAAGAAAAAGAATAAATTAATAAAAACCAAACAAAGAATAATTAAGAAAACTTTTTAAAAATCTTATAATTTAATTTGAGAAGTAAAAACAAATTTGGTCCAATGAATATTAATTACTGAACATCTATTCTGTGCAAGGTCCACTGCCAGGAAATCAAAATTAAGACAAAATAAAGCAAAAACAATACAAAACTTATCTTTTCAGAAATTATAACTATCCCAAACTCAGCAGTCATTTAAAAAACTGTATAAATTTTAAAAGTCAAGATCTACACAAGTTTATGAAAATTAAATTATTCTAAAAATTAGCTGCTATAACCAAGTAATGTGTAACATCTATTTGCTAACCTACCTCTTGCCCATCTTCAAGAATAATAGCTCCAGCCTGCTCCACCACTTCAAAAATCATCACTGAGCAGAGTTCTCTCCTTACAGACATGGTCATGTTTGCAAAAGCAGGAAGCTGGTGCATAAACTCCAGTAACTGTTCTGTTAAAAAACAGAAATTCTAGTTTGGTGACCATCAAGGACTACAGTTTAAAGATACAATAAAATCCAGAATCCAATACCCAATTCTCTAATCAACTTAGGAATTCATGCTGCTAAACTAGAGAAACCAAGATACAAGATGACTGTTGCTTAAAAAAATTCAGTTATTTGGTTAACAGATATATTCAGACTCACATGAAAATACAGGCATAATGGAAGACACCAGAATTCACAACCTCCAGAGAGAACCAGGAAACTACACAGATTCAGACGAGGCTGGAGAGTTTAGCTAATTTTCCTAGCAGGAGATGCTATTCCATGGTGGTTACATTTAGTGATGTCCTTTGATCTAACAGATTAGTGTAAAAGGCTTTTGTCTGTTTCTTTCTGGGCTAGAGTTTTTAAACAGTTATTAATAAATGTCAGTAAGTAATTAAATTAGGGACAACAAATGTGAATACTAGTTTAAGATTTGTCAAAGCAACTACAAGGTAACGCTCTTTAATTTAACCAACAAATGTTTGAATACCTGCCTCAGGCCATTCCCTGGTATAGATACAGGAGCAATAAAGATAAAGGAAAAAACATTTAAGCAGTCAGCTAAGGCTGAAACAGAAGAAACTATAAGGTGCTATCTATCTACAGATAACTGGAAGTTAATCATATTTCAATTTTTAAGAAAGCCTTGTGAAAACAGCATAGTGTACAATTCTTTATCACTAAAAATGCACTTACAGTTGCTGTCCAGATAGCATTCACAACATGAGTCTCAACTGTAGGTTGCATAACTATATTATATGTTATTAGCATGGCAAGGAATGCTCAAATGTATTGATCTTTACTCCCATAGATTATAATTATTAGTAGCAGTATCTTCTGACTTGAATCACAGCAGTATGACTCTTATAAAAGGGAAATCTAGGATAAAATCTTAATTGAATCATAATATATAACAACACTAAGTAATCTCTGTCCTTAAAGATAACATTAGCATCTTTAGTATTACTCAACCTCCAATGTACAGTAAGTAGTTCTATAAGAAATTAAAGGAAAATTCATAAAATTTGAATCAAGAAATATACACATATTTTTTCAAGCTACAGGCAAAACTATGATTTTTGATAACATTTGAAATTTTTTTGAATTCATAGACATTGAACACTGACGCACTGTGTTTTACATGTCTTATGGACATGGAGGGGGAAATCACTTTACCGCAATCAAAGCTATTGTTTTATGAATTGGGGCAGCCAGAATGTGAGGACTATCTGGCTGCAACATCCATCACCCTAATGATGGCCAGGGTTGATTCAGCTGATCCGGCTGTCTAGGCAGGTGTCCCCTTCCTCCCTTCACCACTCCACACATGCATCCGTCCTGAAGCTGTACACTTGGTCAAAGAGGACAACCTGTCCCGATAGAGGAGAACCTTCCCTGAGAAAGGAGTACTGTCCTTCGCTTACGGATATATGAACAGCTGCGTTCCACTGCTAGAACCTCCAAAACAAGCTCTAATATTGGGGCAGCTAGCCTCAAAGACGGCCCTAAACAATTCTTGCCTCTTGATATTCACGTCCTCGTGCAGTCCTCTCCCATACTGCATGAGGGCTGCTCTGTATGACAAACAGAATTGGGAAGAAGCAATGATGTATCATTCCTGAGGCCAGATCATAAAAGATACTATGGCATCTGCCTTATTCTCCCCTGAATTACTGGCTTTGGGGGAAACCAACTGCCATGTGGTGAGGACATTTAAACAACCTCTGGAGAAGCCCGTGTGGAGAGGAACTGAGGTTCTATGCCAAAAGCCATGTGAGCAGCCACCTTGGAAGTAGATCCTCCAGCTTAGCCCAGTGACTGTAACCCCTGCCACATTCTGACTACAACCTCATGAGAGACAATGAGCCAGAACGACTCAGGTAGGCTGCTCCTGAATTCTTGACCCACAAAACCTTGTTGGGGGTAATTTGTTATGCACCAATAGGTATCCATATATAAATTGAACTATAAAATTCCTATTGTGAACAGATGTATTTCTTACCAATGTCATCATCAGTTTTGTCTGCAGGTTCTTTTTCAAGACATTCTCGAACAAGATCTCGCCCCTGCAGTGGATCTGTTCGATCAATCTCTTCATCTTCCTCTTCTTCATCTTCAGAATCAACAGGTCCTTCTGGAAGACGTGTTAAATCTACATCTCCTACCTCACTTTCCGTAGCCTACAGAAAGAAATCTTGATCACTTACCATTTCATGTTATAAAAATTATATGTCACAATCTGAATGAAGCAAAACTACCCCTCCCACCAAATATTATCAAGAATTAGGCAACACCGTATGCTCTATCAAAAACAAAATGCTACTTATTTATAAAACGTTTCTCTCTGCCTAAAATACAAGTCATCATTTCAGTGTGACATCTAAATTGACAAATCTGAGCCAGTATGTATAAAATGGTCAAGAGACTCAAACATCACTAAATGTATTAACACCTGCTTTCCAACAAACACCTGTGTTTCTTAAAAGTACATTTCCTAAAATATAAAGTGCAAGAAAGAGAAAGACAGTTTACCAACAATCATTTTAGGAGTACCTTGTTAGTATATGCTGGGTGTTATAAATAAGGTATTATTCTTTCAGCACTAGGTTTAGAATCTAGTAGGGTAGACAGTCATGTAAATTAAGAACAGAAGTATAAAACAGCAGTACTGAAAAGTGCTAAAATTCAACAACTGTGAAGGATTGAACAAATACTTCTCTCTTTCCAATACCTTATTGTTGAATCTAACAGTAAGCAAAGAAGAGCCAAGGTTACTCTACCAGGGGTCCCCAACCCCCCAGCCGCAGATGGCTTCTGGTCTGTGGCCTGTTAGGAACCAGGCTGTACAGCAGGAGGTGAGCTGCTACCCCCCATCGCTCCCCATCGCTCGCATTACCATCTGATCCATCCCCAACCCCCCCACCCCTGTCTGTGGAAAAACTGTCTTCTAAGAAATCAGTCCCTGGTGCCAAAAAGGTTGGGGACCACTGCTCTAAGCAATCTTAAAAAAATAAACTTATACTGACAACCTGAACTTTGCAAACATACTAGTCTCAGATAGTTGTAAAAGAACTAGCAGATTTTTAAAAAACTATGAATTTAAATGTTACTCATAGAAAACAAATAAAATAAAATAATTTATTTACTTTTTGTACTTTGTATTTTTTACTTTTTGTACTTCAGGACAAAATCAAATTGTCCTGAAGTGGATTATTAGGCAATATTTCTAAATATTATACTCAGTTGATTCATATTATAATAAATGAAAAAGCATGAATACTAAAGCAGATACGGAAAAAAATGAGTAGAATGTACAGAAATTTCATAATAAATAAGCACTCATACATGAGGATTATTGAAAACTATGGAACCTTCATTCAAATATTTAAGTCTCATCTCCTGTGTTGAACATTTACTATTTTGTCTGCCCAGAAGAGGTTCTTCCTTCTTTTAGGGAGTTGATGTTCCTCTCCCACTTAACCCAGAGATTTCAAAGGGAAACAGTGCCCTGTTCCTGGCTAGGGAAGCTAAGGGAGAAAGTCCTTTCCTCTGGATTTTTATAACTGGAGCTGGAGGGCAGAGCATCCTTTCTCCTCTGGTTGATGAACTGGAAGAATGTGAGGCAGAACAGCCTACAGCCACATGGGAATGCCTTTCTGTGGTGGGAGAAAATGGAATCAACTGGCAGAGAAAAGGGCAGGGGAATGCGGAGGAAGGACATTGAACAAGACAGCAGACACAGAAAGAGATCGAGACAGACAGACGCAGAGCAGCAAAGCAAAAAAAACAAAAACATATCATGCAGGAAAGAGATGGAAAAAGCACAGCATGTGCAACAAAGATGACCTGTGACAGAACGTGTCACAGAGAGAGAGGGAGGAAGAGCAATCAAGCAACAAGGAGTCAAAGGACTAGAGAGACAGGCAAACAGGGGCAGACACACTTGCAAGCATCCAGGTTCCTTGAGGCCAGAGCTGCCTCTGCTTTCTCTGGGGGTCAATAACTTATCTGTTCTGGCTTTAGTTAATTCAAGTTAAGGCTCTGATACCTGCAACTGAAAGAGTTCTGATTTGTTATGTAAGACCAGGTTCTATACTTCTTTTGGACTTCTGCACAGCTTTAAGTAAGAGCTTTAATCAATAGTTAACAAACTAGATTAAACACCCAACTTGAAATCTTTAAGATTAGATAAACTGGCTCTTAAGGCTCTTATAGGGGCAATCCTATCTTATGACCAGCATGCTCTCCTGAGTTACATTTTGGGTATGAAACTTTAGGGTTTAAGCAGAGTGCATTTCTGAATAATATACCTTTGTAACTAAAAACTTGTTAAAAAGTTACAATCTCTTTTCAAAGATAAGTAGTTTTAATTTAAATGTGTAGATACTAAAATGACTTTTCCAAAACCCAATTTATCTACAAACACTGATTTTAATCTAAGAAATGAGTGTTAAAAAACACTGAAGCAATATTTTTTACACAAGTTAATTTTTCAGAATATAGATGCTCACCTCTGGAATAACAGCCTTTTTCTCTTTTATCAAATTTTAAGGACAATCTACCTTAAATCTGAGTTTTTAAACTACCCTGTCCTCATCTCAATCTCAGGTTTTCATCCCCTGACCAAGACTATTTCAACCTAGTCTCATTCTTATCTTTTAGATTATGTCTGATTAAAAAAAAGGATAACTCACAACATAACAAAAGGCAAGGGCTTCCCTAGTGGCGCAGTGGTTGAGAGTCTGCCTGCCGATGCAGGGGACACAGGTTTGTGCCCCGGTCCGGGAAGATCCCACATGCCACAGAGCAGCTGGGCCCGTGAGCCATGGCCGCTGAGCCTGTGCGTCTGGAGCCTGTGCTCCGCAACGGGAGAGGCCACAACAGTGAGAGGCCCATGTACCACAAAAAAAAAAAAAAAAAAAAAAAGGGGAAAGATGCAAGGGGGGGGGGGGGTGGGATGAATTGGGAGACTGGGATTGACATATATACACTACTGATACTATGTATAAAATAGATAACTATGAGAACCTACTGTATAGCACAGGGAACTCTAATCAGTGCTCTGTGGTGACCTAAATGGGAAGGAAATCCAAAAAAGAGGGGATATATATATATGCATAGCTGATTCACTTTGCTGTACAGTAGAAACTAACACAACATTGTAAAGCAACTATACTGCAATAAAATTTTTTTCAAAAAAGGCAAGACGCAATTCAGTTATGTGGATAATAGGGAAGGCTTACTGTCATCTGCACGAAAAGTGAAGATATTTTAAGAAAATAACTCTTTAGGTAGAATGAAAATCATGGGTAGTGACTGGGAGATGACTATTAAAAGAACTCTTTTAGGAACTTTCTAAGGCCATCTGCAAAGGAAAGAATATAATCTCTTCTTACCATTGTCCTCTTTTACCTGTACTTTTTTCAAAGTAGGATAAAAGAAAAAGGATGAATAAAATTAGTAAAGAGAACATACTCAACTGCTAAAATGTTAAGAGTCTACAAAAGGGATAAGGTGGTAAAATAAGAATGAAGAATAAAAATATAGGGACTTCCCTGGTGGCGCAGTGGCTAAGAATCTGCCTGCCAAAGCAGGGGACACAGGTTCGAGCTCTAGTCCGGGAAGATCCCACATGCTGTGGAACAGCTAAGCCTATGCGCCACAACTACTGAGCCTGCGCTCTAGAGCCCGCAAGCCATAAGTACTGAGACTATGTACCACAACTACTGAAGCCCGCGCACCTAGAGCCCGTGCTCTGCAACAAGAGACGCCACCACAATGAGAAGCCTGCACACCGCAACGAAGAGTAGTCCCCGCTCACTGCAACTAGAGAAAGCCTGCGCACAGCAATGAAGACCCAATGCAGCCTAAAATAAATAAATAAATAAATTTAAAATATGTACAGCTTTAAAAAAAATAAATAAAAATATGAAAGAGTCTCAGTCGGAGGAAGATGTCGGAAGAGTAAGACGCAGAGATCACCTTCCTCCCCACAGATACACTAGAAATACATCTACACGTGGAACAACTCCTACAAAACACCTACTGAACGCTGGCAGAAGACCTCAGACTTCCCAAAAGGCAAGAAACTCCCCACGTACCTGGGTAGGGCAAAAGAAAAAAGAATAAACAGAGACAAAAGAATAGGGACAGGGCCTGCACCAGTGGGAGGCAGCTGTGAAGGAGGAAAGGTTTCCACACATTAGGAAGCCCCTTCGTGGGCGGAGACTGCGGGTGGTGGAGGGGGGAAGCTTCGGAGCCAGGGAGGAGAGCACAGCAACAGGGGTGCGGAGGGCAAAGCGGAGAGATTCCCGCACAGAGGATCGGTGCCGACCGGCACTCACCAGCCCGAGAGGTTTGTCTGCTCACCCGCCGGGGCGGGTGGGGCTGGAGCTGAGGCTCGGGCTCCGGTTGGAGCGCAGGGAGAGGACTGGGGTTGGCGGTGTGAACACAGCCTGCAGGGGATTAGTGCACCACGGCTAGCCAGGAGGGAGTCCGGGAAAAGTCTGGACCTGCCGAAGAGGCAAGAGACTTTTTCTTCCCTCTTTGTTTCCCGGTGCGCGAGGAGACGGGATTAAGAGTGCTGCTTAAAGGAGCTCCAGAGACGGGTGCGAGCTGCGGCTAACAGCGCAGACCCCAGAGATGGGCAGGAGATGCTAAGGCTGCTGCTGCCGCCACCAAGAAGCCTGTGTGCGAGCACAGGTCACTATCCACACCTCCATTCCGGGGAGCCTGTGCAGCCCGCCACTGCCTGGGTCCCGTGATCCAGGGACAACTTCCCCGGGAGAACGCACGGCACGCTTCAGGCTGCTGCAACGTCACGCCAGCCTCTGCCGCTGCAGGCTCGCCCCGCATCCGTACCCCTCCCTCCCCCCGGCCTGAGTGAGCCAGAGGCCCCGAGTCACCAGCTCCTTTAACCCCGTCTTGTCTGAGCGAAGAACAGACAGCCTCCGGCAACCTACACGCAGAGGCGGGGCCAAATCAAAAGCTGAGCCCCGGGAGCTGTGCGAACAAAAAAGAGAACGGGAAATCTCTCCCAGCAGCCTCAGAAGCAGCGGATTAAATCTCCACAATCAAATTGATGTACCCTGCATCTATGGGTGCAATACATGAATAGACAACGAATCATCCCAAATTGAGGAGGTGGACTTTGAGATCAAGATTTATTATTTTTTCCCCT